GGACAGGTCAAGGAGGTGGGGATGAGCTGGGCTGATTTTGGGATGCGGTAGGGGGAGGGGAGATTTTGAAGCTTGTCAAGTCCACATTGATACCATTGGGCTGTAGGGTTCCCAAACAGAATATGAGATGCTGTTCCTGCAACCTTCGGGTGGCATCGTTGTGGCACTGCAGGAGGCCCAGGATGGACATCTTGTCCTGTCTCTAGTCACAATTGTATCATATCCATGTACAACTTGGTCATTAGTGCAGTTGCCTTTATAGTGAATGTCATGTGGATTATGTATAGTACATTAATTTGTCTTATTCCTTGTCCTGTACTCCAGCCCTGTGTGCTATAATGGTCCTTGTTTTGTCTGCCTTCTATTTGCTTTTTGCTTTCTACTTTCACTCTGCTTTTTCTAGCTTGGGTTCCTGTCTCCTGTCATGTGTAACTTTAAATCCTCTCCACACTGTGTGCCTGTAAGGATATCTGTTCCAGAACATAAGATGTAGGAGTGAAAATAGGCCATTCAGCCCACAGTGGCACAGACTCAACCATTCAATGAGATGGCTGACTTGATGATCCTCAACTCCATTTACCAGTCTTTCTTTTTCCCTTTCCCTTACTGGTTTAAAAAATCTGTGTTGAATGTTGTGATATTATAAGCTTGAAGAGGTGAATTTTCTCCTATTCTCTTGGGGTTTAGTGGCAGAGGTGCTATTAAAGTTGTAAACAGATTGAGATCTTGGATCTTAAGTTGCAATTATAGAAGTGGCCTGAATAGATGTGTTTGAGCTCTCAGAACCAGGAGTTTCTCTTTAGTTTTTTTTCCACAAAGAAGATCAGTAGTTGCTGCTAGTGTCTTGAAGTGGAAGCTGTCTCCCTGCCTCTCTGTTACAGTGGAAAAAGCTGGGGGTTCTCTCTGCTGCTGGAGTTACATGTGAGACAATCTGTTTTACTGAATTTGCACCCCCCCAACCCAAGGATGTGTTTATGGGGGATGTTACTATATTGGAACAGTTTCTTTTTTATTAGTTAAATCTACTATTCTATCTTAACTAGGGTGAGCCCATGGAATTCATTACCACAGGAAGCATTTGATGACAAAACATTGAATGTATTCAAAAGGTGGCTAGATATAGCACTGGGGTGATTGGGATCTAAGGTTATAGGGAGAAAGCAGGATTAGCCTGTCGAGTTGGACAACCAGCCATAATCACGAAGAATGGCAGAGCAGTCTCAAGGGGCCAAATGGCCGCCTCCTGCTCCTGTCTTCTGTTAATAGTATTTTTGCTTAAAAATCAGTTTGACCAATCAAATGGTGTCAGGAATAAAATGCCTTTAACTTAAGGTCTAGACCCACTTAATATATTGGGGGCAGGGGTGGGATGTGGGGTTCTGGTCCATAGTAATTGTTAACAACTCAGCCTTGACAGTCTGTAGGAAAGAATCCCAGATTCCCTGCTCTCTGGGATAAAACGTGCCTGGCTTGTACAGGCTTTGTCTTGACCTAGAATTGGTCCCAGTCCCTCACTCCTACGCCATCCCTCCAGCTGCTCACTCAGCCTATTTCTGATAGCTGTCACATGTGGCATGGTCATTCACCGTGCAAATAGATGTTTAGACAAGAGTTAAATGTAACTCTAGCCCCCTTGTGTTCTGAGTGCTGCAGTATAGCAATCAGCATTCATGTATAGCAGAGCTACTGAAGTCTTGAACCAGGGGATCATTCTTGCTCATTAACCTGAACTCTGTTCGGCAACACAGCGTGCATTCCTTCCCTCTCCACCCCCCACAAATTCCATATCTGATCTTTGTGGCCTCCACTTATTCAGCCAACTCTGCACCAAGCCTGATGCTAGGAACTCGGATTTCTTTTATGCAAGTAATTCAGTTAACTGTAATGCAGCTCAACATTTTTTTATTAAGTGAGATTTTAATTCTTTTCCTTTTGACCTACAGACACCAGTACTGCAATATTTCATCAATGCCTTCATCTCTTTTTTAAATAGTTTTTCTAACTTTTATGTAACAAGCTATCTCTGCTGTGGAAATATATATTCAGGTAACATGTCTTTTTTGCCAGATACTGTTGATACAAACTAACTACTGCAGTGTAACCATATTAAAATGTTTGGTGCATGAAATAGCTTTTCTCTCATCCAACTGTCAAAACACTAGTTCAGTGAGGATTTCCCCCATTCTAATAGAAGCTGTCTGGGACAGCTTTGTGCTGTGTAATAATACAGGGGTGAAATATAGTGATTACAAGTCTAACACAACAGGAATCTTTTGACTGATTAATTGCACGTAAACACTAGGTGCTAGTGCCAGTGTATTCCTGCCTCACTGTAACAGTTGCAAATCCTTTGTAACATTTTCAGAAACAAACCATAACCAACATTTATTTCACTGCTTTCCATCAGGTAATATCATTGCTAATGTTTTTTGATGTTTTACTTTTCATGTGACAGGTGGCTGTTTAAATTAACCTTGTCTTGATCTTCATGGTCAGGACCAGATGGACAGTGTGAGCAGGTTGAATTGAATTGAAATAGTCTTATCTCGAGCAAGTGCAGTGAAAACTTTGAGACACCTCATGACAGTGCCATCTTGCAAGGGAACCTAGGTACAGATACTTAAAATCAAATTCTTAAGAACAAAAAAGTAAAATAGTTCAGCATTCTGGCTCATAGGGATATTTTAGGAAAAGGTTCAGAATATCAGTTTTTCTGACCCAGTCAGTGCTGGCACCTAGCCTCAAGGGAGACTAGCAGGTTGGACAGTGTTTGGGAGAAGGTAGGTTTTCTTTGTTGTACAGTTTTTTTTTTTAAACCACTTCTTACTATCTCTTTAAAACTTTAGTCCTTGATACAGAAGGTCTTGTATTCCATCTAATTTTCTAACAGCGCCTGTTTTCCTGGTTAGCCTCAGCAACCACCCCTCCACACACGCACACAAAGTATCCAGAATGTTGTCAAACAATGACCATGGCTGCTAGCCTTTTAAAGCTCCCTTTTTTTAAAAAGGAGCAAGACCAGGGCTCTCCTTGCATGATGAGGCAGTTGGCTGGAAGGGGCTAAGTGGACATTGCAACATCTCTGCTCCTCAGAAGTAGAGACTGTTACCACTCAGCCCATGACCAGAGGAATATAAAAGATCTGACTCTATCTTAACTGGAACCACTTTCTTTTTAAAGCAGTGTAAAATTGACAAATGTTGTCCTACTTCTAACTGAATAGCTCCATATTAGTCCAAATAACATTGCCTGACTGACTTTATAAAGCAGGTGTTTGCAGTTGATACTGTAATGCCATGTTACTGTCTCCTCATGGGAGCTGTTACCTCTCGGCTTTCTAAGTTGATAGAAATTCCGAGAAACAGGTTGTTAACTTTTTTTCTCGTGCATGTGTAACAAACTAGTCTTTATCACCATGAAGTATAAAAACCAACATTGCTGGGTTACAGAGAGCTCCGAGCTTTTTGATTAAAATATTGAAAAGGTAACGTAGCTGTAACCCTACTGGACCATAAGGCTGCTCACTAGAGAAATGGTGATGGTTTAGCCAGAGGGTGACTAATCAGATGAAGGGAAATGTTGAAAAGGAGAGTCCTTCAGGACCACCCCAGCTGGTGTGGCAACTAAATCCACTCGACACTGCAAGCCAGCTGTACTGTGCTAGCCAACCCTAATTCAAAACATTGCAACGTGCATATTGCAATTACTGTATTTAGTTTTCCCAGGGGTTCACACTAGCATTCTGTGTATTTCACTCTAGGCTAGTACAATCAGTGCTGCTTCTGTATTCCTGGCCAACCTTAGCACCTCTGGTTCCTGGGGTTTTTTGTTTTTGTTTAAAATTTTAATCCTTCACTTCCCAACAATATTCCCAATGCCTTCAATAATATTTTCTTTAGCCCCTGAATTGGATACTAAACACCTGCTGGAGTTCCTACTGACATTGGACTGCCACTTCAAGTTTTTTTTGTTTTTTTTAAATAATTCCTTGTGGAATGCAGAATTTTATCACCAGAGTAGGTCATCAATCCAGAGACCCAGGCTCGAATCTTCCTCCGAGCCTATCCTGAGATGGTGTGACTGTCTTTGTCTTTGTTTGGGTACAAAGAATCAGGTGGCATCTACAGAGAAGGGGCACTGACTGGTTTAGAACACAGTACTCAATATCCTGAATCCTCCAGGTTTAGCTCTGTATTGAGGGTTATTGTATGTTTTTAAAAGGACATCTGCAATTTGATGCCAGCAGATTCGCTGATTCTTGGTCTGACAATGACGCTATCTATGTAGATCCTGGTCTCCTTTATGCCAAGTTCTACAGACCTCCATTCAGTGGAGGTGCTAACAGAATTGCTCTAACAATATAAAAGGGACTGTTTTGAGGTTTGTGGATAATACATTAAAGCAACAGTCTAAGGTCCACTTGTCACCATGGCCCTCTGATCAGAGTTCTAGCTCTGTATTTGCTGAACCATCCTCCCCTATGTGACTCCAAAGGGAAGCTGGGGGCTGAATTGAGCAGCAGGAGGACAGGGGAAATTTGGTGATCAGTTTGTTTCCTAAACTGTAGGGACTTGAAAAGACATCCACCTCGGACCCATTTGTACAACAAGAATCAAGCCTCCAATGTTTGATTTACCCTCATGTGGCAGGAAAGCAAGGCTTAAAGCTGTGCAGGCTGGGTGGATTGGTATGGTAAATGTTGGGTAACAAGGGTCTGGGTGGGATGCTCTTCAGAGGGTCAGTGCACAGTCAATGGGCTGAATGGCCTCTTCCAGTGTGTAGGGATTCTGATTCTAAAATGATGTTTCTGCTGGTAGCAATTGGTCTGATCTCTATGGTTGGCTTTAGCTGCTTGTGACACCATCGCAACCCACTGCCTCTGAGCAACACTTCCCAATCTATATAAAAATGGAGGAAACTGCAGGATGGCTTTTGAATGTTACTTTTTTTTTGCTTATCCTGGATGCATTCTTGTTCAATTGTTCTGTTCTTACTTTCAGTAGTGTCCCTTTCTGCTCCTGGAGTCTATTTGATAGCCACCCTGTTCTTCCCCTCTCCAGCAAGACACCATGGACACAGAGGGCTCTGAAAGGCCATCCATTTCCAACCAAGCAACAACAGAGGGCCCTGCAACAGTGGTGAAAGGTTCATTGAACAACCAAACGAATGGGTCAGCCAAGCCAGGTCTGAAGCTGCCCAGTGGAAGTCTGCCCAAGGCTGGTATCAAGGGCAATAGACAACCAATCTCCAGTCGCCCAGCTTCCACACTACACAGTAGAGTGCTCAGTGGCAGTAAAAAGAGCACTGAGCAAAAGCAAAGAGTTTCCTCGACACAAACCTCACCTGGATCTTGCACATCATCTCATGCTAAAATCATGGAGAAGAAACTGGCTGCCAAGGCGACAAAGGAACATGTGAGCGGGGCACATGCTGGAAATGCAAATAGTGATTCAATCTCTCCAATGGGAAAGGCTGGAGGACCAAGCAAGGGGGGGCTACCCATCCCCAACGCTGCTGCTCAAGGGAAGAATCCAACTCTGCGGCCCAGCTCCACAAGTAGGTCAATACAACCATTTTCCCCACCCTTTATTTTTTTTCGGCTCTTCTATTCTTCAGAGATATTCAACATCATTCACAGATCCAGGTCTTTCCCTCTTTCTAACCCTCTTCCCCACTTCTCTTCTCTTCTGTTTTAAGATGCTGGACCTTGGTTTTTTTAATCTGAAACTTGACCTGAAATATTGGTCTAAGGAGGGATTGTACAATTTCCAAACTTTATCTAGCTTGGGGGATTTTGTTGCAATATTCCTGCACAGTTGCTTTTGTCACTTATAGCACAGAAGGCCATTGGACCTGCTGGGTCCATTCTGGTCAAAGATTTTTGACTACACGAGACTAACTGCACTTTTTTTTTCTAGCTCCTGATCCATAGTTGTGCATGGTGTGATAATTCTGGTGATCATCAAAATTCTACAGGAATATAAAGTTCTGACTTTGTTCCTTTTAGGCAGTGACTTCCAGCCTCCATCTCTGACAATATTGTTCAAATTTCCTTGCAGCTTTCTACCTGAACTTTTCTTAAATCTACCTAGTTATTCACATCACTGCCAGTGGAACAAGTGCCTGTGTTCATCAGGTCCCCTCTCAATCTTTGCTGCTCCAAGGATGATGACCGCAGCATGTCTAACTTTTCCTCACAGCTCAGGCAGTGTCCTGGTAAATCTCCTCTGCGCACCCTCCTGTGTAGGCATATCCTTCTTACAATGCAGTGACCAGAATTGCATGCGCACCCCGCACCCCCCCTCCCCACCAAGCTGTGACCTAACCAGCATTTTTACATAATTCCACCATAACTTGGCAGCTCTCCTCCTTTTTATTAGCTGAGGTGCAGAATGAATATCCTATATGCCTTAAACACCTTTCCCACTTACTAGCCCTGTTAAGGTGCAGGGATCTGTGGCTATGCACACCAAGGTACCCCTCTGACCTGGCATTTAAAAACTAGTCTAATCCTGACAGTGACCACTGCTTGTGAAATCCCATCTGATTCACTAAACTCCCTCTAGGGAAGGAAATCTACTGTTCGTACCCAATCTGGTCTACATGTGACTCCAGACCTGCAGCAAATGTGGTTATTAATTGCTGGGTGGGCAATAAATACTAGCTTTCACAACATTGCACACATAACAATTTGAAGCTGGTTCCAATGGTAAAAGATTAACTTTTGTGGGGTTTTTCCCCTGACTTGATCACTCTAGGCAGTCTAATTATTGTAAAAATGCCTGCTTTGTAAAATCTACTGGCCACAAGATAGAAACTTTGTTTTGGTTAATTTGTTTCATTCTCAAAATGAGAACCTACTGCTGGGTTTTGCCTTTTATATTCACCCTGGGTTTTATTTAATGTACTGGCCAGCCACTGACTGTATCTTGCCTTCCTATAATATCTCTAATGTGTGTGAACACTAATATCTACAGCTCTCATTCTAAATGCTTGCAGAGGGAGTTAAACAGATGCCACCTAGGTGACTGGCTCCTTGCACCTAAAGGGGAACAGGTACAGGGGGAAGGAGGTTTGAGTGAGAGCTCCAGCAAGATGCCGCCACCAGACACATTCCCCTCGTCAGCCTTCTGCAGGGACCATTCCCTTCAGGACACCCTGGTCCACATGTCCTTGCCCCATAGCCCTACGACACACCTTCACCAGTTACAGGGGGAAGGTAACACCTGCCCACTTACCACCTCCCTCCCAGTATCCAAGGGCCCAAACATAGCTTCCAGGTGAAGCAGCACTTCCCAGAATCTTGTCTACTGCATTTGCTCCTCACAATGTGGTGCTCTCCCCACTGGGGAAAGGAAGCAGTTACTGGGTGACCGCTTCGCAGAACATCTACACTCTGCTTGCAAAAAAGACACCCAACCCTCTTCCCTGGCCAACATCTGTCTCTGGCTTGTTGCAGTGTTCCAGCGAAGCTCAGCACCAGCTGGAGGAACAACACCTCATTTTCCACTTGGGGACCCTGCAGCCCTCTGGACTCAATATTGAGTTCAATAATTTTAGGGCCTAAACTCTCCCATGTCCCAACACCCTCCTACCCGACACACCAGGCCTTGTTACCACATAGCCTGCCATTACACACTACCTATTGTTAGTCACTAACAGTCCCCATTAACAGCTATTCACCCTCTCGGCCAAAGCCAGATAGTTATCAACTCCTTTGTCTGTCTGACTGGTCTTCTCTCTCTTTGGGCTCTATCCTATCGTTTACTCCCTACCCCACCCCCTCTCTTCTGCATACAAACTGACATTTTCCCAGCTACCATCGGTTCTGAGGAAGGGTCACCAGACCTAAAACTTTTTTTTTCTTCAGATGCTGACAGACCTGCTGAGCTCTTCCAGCAAATTCTATTTTTGTTCCTGCATCAGTGGTTCTTTCAGTTTTTTTGTAGAGTGAGAAATCTGCCTGTTTATTTCTGTTCTCCAAATCAATGTTGCCTCTGCCACACTAACATTGATTTCTCCAGAATGTGTGTACCAGCTCCTTTCTTGTTGCATTCTGTAGCCACTTCCAGTTCTTTTGCCACTCTTTTTGGGTTAAATCAAGCCCAGTTTAAGATTTTAGGCCAATGTTAACCCCTGACTGCAAGATGAAAAGCAGTGTCCTCATTGTCTGATCCTTACAGCCTTTGTGGAATCACTTTGTTTCCCAGGCAGTGGACTTTTTAATGTCTAAGTTGGAAGGTTTTGATTTTACTGTAACATTAGAACACCATTTGTAAGAGGCCCAATAGAGTTTGGGTGAGGAGCTGGACTCCAGACCTATCACTTGGACTTTCTCCTTTTCCCTAAGCTGCCCTCTGGTGTTGGGAACCCTTGGTTCTGAAATCCTGTTTGTCAACCTGTTCAGTCGCTGGGCGATGAAGAAAGGTGTTTGGAATGAGGCTGAGGCAGATGGTGGCTTGATCTGAGCATTAGGAGAGTGGAGGCAGGGAGGATGAGACGACCACCCAGTCAGCCATGATCTTGAATTGGAGAGTAGGTGCAAGAGCTGAATGGTCTAGGCTTCCTATCTATTTACAGTGACTATGGCTGCCTTACCTCCAGTGCATTAGATTCCCTTGCTGCTCAACAGTTGATCCCCAGGTAGAATTGTTGCTGTCCCTTGCTCGAGACAAGGCTAACATGTCTCTCTTGGTTAAAAACCGAAAGAACCGCAGATGTTGTGAACCGCAGATGTTGTAAACCTAAGCAGGTCTGGCAACATCCGAAGAGAAATCAGTGTTAACATTTTCAGGTCCAGTGCCCCTTCCTCGGGTCAAATGCTGCCAGACCTGCTGGCCTTTCCCAGCAATCTTTGTCTATTTTGGTAAGTAGGCAGCTTAACTGGTCCACATGTCACTTGCTAGTTCATCCACTGGCTTAGTGACTCCAAGTAGAATGACTGTCTATATTTCCTTCCTTCCCT